GACTGAAGCAGAACACACCGAGTCGTGTCCTTCATACAAGTCAACACGACGACTGAAGCAGAACACACCGAGTCGTGTCCTTCATACAAGTCAACACGACGACTGAAGCAGAACACACCGAGTCGTGTCCTTCATATAAGTCAATATGACGACTGAAGCAGAACACACGAGTTGTGTTCTCCAAATAAGAGTATAAAATTATCAGTTTGGCTGCATTTTCACTACAAAAAAAGAAGTAAATGGAAATATAATAAAAGATGGCCATCCAATGTGCAGAATATGTGACAAAACCACAACAATCAAAGGAAGAACAACTTCAAACATGATGTATCACCTGCATATTTACCACCCAGTAGATTTTCAAGACATCTGGGAATCTAAGTCACAATTATGAATAAACAAGGTAACTTTAATAATGGTCTTGTGTGTGTGTGTATGTATAGGTTGTTAGTTTATCAAGGGTAACCTTGAATAACTAACATAGTTATAAAACCAGTTTTTTTATTCAGTATGCTGGGACTGGAAAGACCAACTTCAAGTAGCTGGGCCTGCCTCAGCTTTCCTGTGTCATATTTGAATAAATTTTCAACAATTTATAAGTTACTTACTTTCTTTTTTATTTTTTAAGACCTTTATAAGGGTGGTGGTTGGGAGTTCTATACTATAGAAATTTTGGGTGATTCTGTATCTACTTTTAATACTTAAATAACCTTAACGGTAACTGCCTTCCCACATCTGGCTGCAGACAGCGAGAGGCAGTAGGAGGTGAGACGTTGTGGGTTTAAGCATTCACCCTCACATCCTTGTTTAACTTCGGCGTTTTGGATTTTGCTTGATAGATGGGATATCCCTAATGTTTTTTGGGTGCTATTACAACAAGCTTTAACCATTTATGGCTAAGGATGACTGCTTGGAGCAAAAGTAGATGCATTAAATGATTATAAATTATTTATTGTTTAATAGTGCTGATCTAAATCACCTATTAATAATAATAATAGATAAATATTAAGCTTTCTGTATTTTCAATCTAATACCTTGATAGTTTTTAACTCTCTGTAACTTCTCGTTCCAGGTCGTATACCACCGAGAAAAAAAACAAAAAAAACTCATATCTTGAGTTAAATTTTTCTTTTTATTCAGTCAAAAAGTAGATAAGTATTACTCCGATACTATCATGATAATCACTGCATCATTAAATACATTTATTGTTCTTTCATCCTTAGTTTAGATGGGTGAAGGTCGTTACAGACATAGTATACAGAAACTGCAGGTCATCACTTTAACACACCTAATTTGTTTCTATGGTTTTCCTTTGTCCAGTATTCAGGATATTTAATAACTCCAGGAATAAACTAAGCCTCACATTTCTTTTACACTTAAATACAGAATTATGATGATAAAATATAGTAATTTAAGATAATTAATAACATTATAAATCACAATATTTTCAATGCTATTGAGATATTAAATATTTCTTTACAATCAACCTTTCACACGTACACATCAAGGTTAAATGGAAAACATGCTCTGTCAGACCTGTTGTATGATGTGTGAACTGAACTCGTGGTTTGTGTTTTAGCAGCTTGGACTTCAGACCCCAGCTTCTTCGACTACAGTTGGATTACTAAAAAAACTTCAAGTCCCTCCCTCCATGCTAAGATCACACACAGGATCCGATGTTGAACTCCAGCTGAATATGGTTAAATGGAAAACATGCTCTGTCAGACCTGTAGTATGATGTGTGAACTGAACTCGTGGTTTGTGTTTTAGCAGCTTAGACTTCAGATTCCAGCTTCTTCAACTACAGTTGGATTACTAAAAAACTTCAAGTCCCTCCATGCTAAGATCACACACAGGATCCAATGTTGAACTCCAGCTGAATATGGTTAAATGGAAAACATGCTCTGTCAGACCTGTAGTATGATGTGTGAACTGAACTCGTGGTTTGTGTTTTAGCAGCTTGGACTTCAGACCCCAGCTTCTTCGACTACAGTTGGATTACTAATAAGATCACACGCAGGATCCGATGTTGAACTCCAGCTGAATATACACAAGTGAATGAGAAAGATGACACATTGCCCCACGGGGAAGTTCACCCCCTCAGTTAACAGCTGGTACCCATCAGACAGCTGGATAGATTGAAACAATTTGGGTAAAGTGGCTTTTCAAGGACACAGCACAAACCAGTTTCAAACTTGCAACCATTTGACTCCAAGTCTAAAGTGTGAAGCCACTGAACCACGCTGGATTACAAAATAAAACTTACAAATGGGAAGTTTTATACGGTTATTTTTACTGCATTAACACATTTACTTGTGGGACTGAACATACAACTATCTCATGTTAAAGTATAGGTTACTTCAAAGTTTGGGAATGCGAATTATAATAACCGTGATAAATTTTTAGGATAAAAAAAAAAGCCATACTCTAATGTATTGTGAAATTGCTAATACTTTCAAGAAGTTAATGTTTTCCTGCCCCTATAACCATTCATATAGTTGAACTGTGTGTAGCATATGACCATACAAGTTCCTCTCAAACACGTTTTTTTAACTAAAGTCTCTGGCAGAGGTGAGCAACATAAAAGAAACCATGGGTCACATGTGAGGCCCTCAAATACCCTTACACGCTACTAGATCCCAATTACCAGTTATTATCCAGAAATGATAAAAATTAGTTATATATATGAAGAATATTTTAAGATTCAACAGGAGTCTCATGTTGACCATTAAGGACACGAGCTGGACAGCACTGGTCTAATGTACGTGTCTGCCAACACGATTAAATCATGCAACTTTTACTGCTGTGAGAAACAGAAGAAAATAAAAAACTTCAGTCTCAGAGTAAGATCATCACAGAAAGTTCACAATACAGGTATAACATAAGGTACACTAACTTCTAAAAATGCAACATAAATAAGCTATATTCTGTCCCACACTTTCTTTAACATGATTTTTCAACATCAAGCATGTATGTAAAATTCTGTGTGTAACTCTTAAATACCTGACACGAAAAAAGGATTAAAAAACACCTTCCTTGCCAGTATGGGTCCATTATAATACCTTGTGTTCGAATGTTATTTTACTTACCTTGTGTAGAGATGAAAGCGTTTTTCTGTTTGTATCCGTCTATATAATTTGCATTGACATAGTCAGAAGCTGGATCTCCATCAAGGCACGAAATCTTGACTCGAGAATGATCATAACAAAGCACATCAGAATATCTGTTCTTTGGTTGATTTGACTTTAGCCTAGTAATATGGTGAAAATATAAGATAGAATAAAAAAGGACTTTTAACAATATTAAATTTTGATATTTTATACAGATTTTGAAAAATAAGACCTAAACACTGGAACAGTTAGATCTAAGTTTGGAAATCTGTGAACAAAGTTAGAGGCATAAACACACACACAAAAGAAAGGTTTATGGTTACTTACTGAATAATGATCAAATTATTTCAAGGTTATTTTTTTGATTCACTCATGTTAATGATATTTCAAACAAGTACATTCTGACAGTTTTTGACAAAACATCAGTTACAATTAGAAAACTATGATAGTTTTCATGACTAGGAAGCTGGAATCCAATTTAATCTTTGGATTTAGGATTGTAAATCTTACTGGCATTTTTTTTAAACACAATTTTCTAAACTGTTCATTTACCAACTTGCTTGTGGATTCCTGACTTTGTTGATTAGAAGATCAATAATCATATGTGCGTCACAGAGACACACAATATTAAAGAAAAATATCATCAATGTTCTAGTTAATCCCACAAACTACTGTCCCAACACATTTCACATAAAATATTATTTTTTGCACCTAGCTTTATTTTTTGGGTCAGTTTTTTTTTTATGGTGTGACTTGTAACAAGATTACTTTTTCACCTAGTTTTATTTTTAGTTAGTTTTTTATGGTGTGACTTGAAACTAGTTTAATTTTTTCACCTAGTTTTATTTTTGGGTCAGTTTTTTTATGGTGTGACTTGTAACTAGTTTAATTTTTTCACCTAGTTTTATTTTTGGGTCAGTTTTTTTATGGTGTGACTTGTAACAAGATT